ACAAGAGCTGATATTCTTAAAGAAAAACTGTTTCCTAACATATTATGATTTAAAGTGAGCACCTGATTGTACCTATTTACAAATTTCAACTCAATTTCATCTGCTGCTCCAAAAACAAACTTCCGAAACAGCCTGTAAACATCCAAATAACAGCGCTCATAAGCAAAACTCAAAACGTTGGAAATATTTATAACAATATGTGATAAGATAGGGCAGTGTAGGGGTCATTGAGTGCGAAAAATACTAATGCTTGAAAGATTATGTCAAGCAAACCTGTACCAGTGTGTACTTGAGCACATGATAATTGTTGAAATAAAAGAAAGAGAGAAAAGATTAAAACTATACATAAATTGCAGAAATATGGTTAGGAAGGTGAAGCAAATTCGATATAAAAATGAAAGAGTACAAAGTAAATCAGATATGATCTATACCGATGCACGTGCACAAACTACTACTAGTCATGGTAGGCTCACTGTTATAAATAGCGGTAAATAGTCCTGCAATAGCGACGCTAATAGTGTTAGCGGTCCCTTCCCGCTAAGCTACTATAAATAGCGGTAAATAGTCCTGCAATAGCGACGCTAATAGTGTTAGCGGTCCCTTCCCGCTAAGCTACGCTGCCGCCCAATAACGGTGACATATTGCGGAATATGCGTTTTTCACTTGTAAAAGAGGCCAATACCGCACCACAGCAGTGAGTAACGGGCAATTGCGGGCAAAATCCATTTTTTATCGCTATTTAAAAGCGGTTTGACATTTATTTATTTTTTAAAGTTAAACTTGACCCGCAACAACTACATCCCACTGCCTCCCTCGCTTTCCGGCATACTCCTGCCGCCTTCCATAGCCTCTGGCACCTCCCTATGGCACCTCCCTCAGCACTTCATCTCACCTCCTCTCGCCGTGAGCTCCTCCTAGTGCAGTCCTCTCACCGCTTAGCTCATCTTCTCGAAGATGACAACTCTTTGACTTCTCCAGTTGTCTTTGGTATTATATGACAGTTACATGTCTATTTCATGTTTAGGATTTCTTTAAATCATCAAATGCACTTTTAGATTTTCTAAACTTTTTTATAATTTTTTTTTTTAATATTTATATATATCTAAATTAGGTCGTTATTTGACTTTGAGCTTTTTACCGTTATTTTGCCGCAATAGCCGCTACACGATGCTATCCAATATCGATAACCTTGGGTAGGCTATCATAACACAGTTAAACTCTTTTTCTTTAAATAAAATTTGGCTACATATTCTAGTCTTGAAACATGGTGCAATACTTGGTTAAGAGCTGCATGGGAGATTGTCTCATGCTTTTTGACCTTTCGAAAGCTGAAAGAAACCTCCAAGGTCGACATTATAGTTGTGAGGAAAGATAAAGTTATGTGCTTTCGGGGCGCCACAGATCAACATCCTAGAAGCTGGTCCACAGCAACTACCTCAGGAATTCGTCCAAGTAGGCCATAGTTGGTCAGTGGTCATAGAAGTAGGAACAATAATGGAGGGAGAAAAAAAAAACTATTCACCTCTCTCCTTTTTTTCCCACACAACTAATCAAGATATTTCATACTCAGGTTGAAGAAAACACAGAAAACAAGAGGAACTTGATTTAATTTTGTTTGACAAATACATATAAGCTATGTAGCATGGACACGGATCCGACACGGCCATCCAACACGCCGACACGAGGCAAATCCTAAAAAATACATAGGATACGTGTGTTCGACACGTGTGTCCGACACGGACACGACACGACACGGCTTCATGTTATGTGTGTCCGTGCTTCATAGCATATAAGATCCAATTTCATCAAGTCAATCTTTATTGTTTGGAAAAAAGTCTATCACATCTCAAGTTTTTTGACAATCAACATAGAAGACAAATGCAGCTTAAAGAAAAATATTATAATTTAAGATTGTTGCTTAGAATATGTAATGGAGTTAAATTACCTATCATCCCATCAAGAAAGTCGGCATGCCAAATGTGCTATGACTTCATGAACTGACTTAGGAACTGTACTCCCACCAGCAAGAAGAAGCTCCTGCAGAAAAAGTATATTATAGACAAATGAACTGATCATAATGGGAGAAGCCAATCACTGGAGTCTGGACGTAAATAAAAAACTGGATAATCCGCAAAGATCAATTTTCTCAGGGCCGTCTCTTCTATGTTTTAAATACCTGAACTTCTGTGATCCCCAGGACATTTATGTTCAATGCAGAGCCTTTGACATGCAATGCAGTTACTAAATAGTTTTGAGCTTGCCAAGATCTAAGCACAATAGGTATGTCTTCTTCGTCACAAAATGGGTCACCGACGGACTGCCCCAAGAGCTCAAATAACAGACCACCTGCCACCCTAACTGGGACCTGAGGAAATTGCGTAAGCATATGTCCATCTAATCATGAAAGACAGTATTAAAACATGACGCTGAATAAAGATTGCCTCATATAAAAGGTGCTTCATGCGTTCACTTATAAGTCGGCTTTCATCTCTGAGAGCAATACTGATGGCAGGATGCAGCCACTGAGCACTACTTAGCCAGGATTGAATGGATTGACATGCAGGATTAACATGACACCACCATGTGGGCCAAGTTGGACGCTCCCAATAAGGTGCGACAACATCAGCAACTGTAAAATCGTCCTCATCCTCCTCTAAGTTTATCTGTTGCGAAGCCCAATTCGCATCAACTTGCACCATTTGAACCAGTTCTTTTATCCTTTCCCATCCGATAGGAACCCAATGGCTGTCATATAACTGTGTTATGTATTGCTTCAAGGTCTCTTAATTATCATCAATGTGGGAAGCTCCTTCAGCTGCTTCATTTGGAGTACTGCTATTAAGGTCTATTAAAGATTCTGGTTCGGTTACACGATGGATGGTTCGCCTATTATTTACATTTTGAACACCTTTACGTAATTTTTTTGGACTCGTGAACCTATTTCCTCGAACAAATTCAAAAGCAAATATGAGGCCATCTTTCCAAAGATCTTTCCCCGATTCTCCTTGGAAATTACAGACCTCTTGCTTGTTATTCTTACCATTCATGAATGTAGATTTATGATTGTCCATTTTATTTGCTCTTGTCTGCACAAGTATCAAGGACTGATGGAAGGTACCACAGGCTAAGGAGATAAAAGAAGACAGAGCAGCAGTATATGAAGTTTCAAGTCACTCGCTTTCCCAGGATGTTTCAAAAATTCCAGTAAGAATTTCAACGTAAAAAGCGAGTTATACGATTGACTGCAAAGAGAACTTTCAGCACCTTATATGAAAGCAACAATGAACTAAATAGCGTCTGCTCCGATTGGGACTAGAATGAAGAACATCGCAGTTCCAAGCAAACTTGACATACCTGAAATATATGAGAAAGGAACATACAATAGCCAAGAATAAGATGAAACTTTAACTTTACAGAGTTACATCCCTGTAATAGTTAATAAGGCTGGTACGTAGAGGCCATTTCGTAAAAATGGGTGAAAATTCCATTAATACTGACACATACATTTCCATCAACAACTACAGTCAATTTTGATATTCCACAAATCTCCAACAAACACAAGCTCACAGACTCCCAATCATTCATAACGTGCATTTAACATAAGATACTCTCTTAAAAAATACCCAAAATTTTCAGGTTTCTTACAAATCTACAGCATTCACCAGAGTTTTGTATGCTAAACTATTTTCAGTAAAGTAAACTACATAATAATAAGAAAAATAACAATAATAAGAGAGAGAACAATGTAATATCATGTGATACGTAATAAAACCCACAAATTCTCGTAACATGCAAATCTTTTCTAATAACCTGTAAGGAGGAGGAGATTGAGGACACCAAACAGTGCCAAAATCAAGTAAGAGAACAAGGAATCATAAGAACTATTGATTAACAAAGAGAACCCCCCAAAAAAACATAGCTTTTTACCGATGAATTTTTTTGTGATTTTGGCCTCCGAGTGATGGAGCGAGTGAGATATTGGATTGCGATGGCGGTTTGAAACGGATGAAGTGTAGTAGTCATTGACTGGGGGACGACGTTCCTCCCTTTTTGTTCCCCGCCCTTCTATAATTCTCTCGCCTTGAAGTTAGTAAAGCTGGTGACTTTCAAATTCGATTAAGTCCTCATCTTCTCCATATTTTTTTTCCTACGCCTTGATTGCAACATTATGGGCCTCGAATTAACTCGTTTTAGCAATCTGGTAAAATTAATAATTACAGCTTTTCGGTTGCAACTCACAGAACTTGCTCTCTCCCTCTCGTCTCTCTCGAAAAAAAAAAAAAAAAAAAAAAAAATCATCCTTTAGCGATGGCTTGAGGCAATGAGGCGTAAAGAGATTTCAGATATGAAATTTTTAAAAAAATCCATTTAGAAAGTCTACGTCCTAAGAGATTCAGCTCCTCTTCAATTAGGTGGCAATTGAAGATGATCCAATTACTATATTTCTTAACATGTGTCTAAATTTGAGGAGATAAGATTATGTCATGTAGGGTTGTCATTATCACACAAATGATTGAGACATATATGACATAATCTTACACAACGAGAATCATGATGATCGTACCCTCTCAAATCACTACTTAGTTTGAGAAGATCAGATCCATATCTTAGAGCAACTCCAATGGGGCTGCAAAACTCCAATTTGCAGCCCCATGGAGCTCCAACCGGACTCCAATTTTTGGAGTCCGGCTGGAAAATGAAACCTTCGGCTGCATATTTGGAGATTTTTCTCCAAATATGCAGCCCCCCTCCAAACCACTATTCCCCTAAAAAAATTACACTAATACCCTTCTAACTAACTAATTATTTTTAGATATTCAACTTAAAATCAACATAAGTTTATTTCTACTAATTATTTCTAAATAAAAATTTTACAGTTAGAAATGTTTTGTCGATACCTTCAAAATGAGACTAATATTGAATAATATTAATTGAAATATAAAATTTCAAGAACCAAGTAATTAAAAATGAAAAAGTTATTATTTCATTAGTAAAAAAAGTTACATAGCTTCATTTCCATGTCTTTCCCACAAATGTTCAATCAATGCATTTCGAAGTGCAAAATGAGCTTCTTTGTTTTTCAACCTCTTATGTCGAGCAAGAAACCGTTGGAATCGTTCAGTTTCCGTTATCTCCATATTTTCAGCATTCGGAATTGATTGTGGAGTTGAAATGACAACATCTTCTTGCTCGTCGCGTTCATCTTCGACAATCATATTGTGCATTATAATACAAGCAGTCATGATATCATGCAGAGTTCGTTTATCCCAAAAACGGGCTGGCCCCTTGATGATAGCAAATCGTGATTGGAGAACACCGAATGCCCGCTCAACATCTTTTCGACATGCTTCTTGCATCATTGCAAAATATTGTTTCTTTTTATCATCGGAATTAGAAATGGTTTGAACAAGTGTTGGCCATTTCGGATATATGCCATCGGCCAAATAATAACCGACATCATAATTTTTTTCCTTGAATTGTGTAATGAGCAGGAGGAGCAATACCTTGTGATAGATTGTCGAACAAATTAGACGACTGCAATACATTAATATCGTTATTGGATCCTGGTAAGCCAAAGTATGCATGCCATATCCATAGATCATATGATGCTACTGCCTCAAGAATAATGGTTGGACCTCCATGACGACCTGAGTATTGTCCTGCCCATGCTGTTGGACAATTTTTCCATTGCCAATGCATACAGTCTAGACTTCCTAACATTCCTGGAAAACCTCTTTCTTCGCCCTTTTGCAATAACCTTGCAACATCGTCGACATTGGGAGTCCTCAGATATTCATCTCCATATACTTCTACAGTTGCTCTGCAAAATCTCTTTAAACACACAATTGCAGTTGACTCACCGATCCTAACATATTCGTCAGTACTATCTGCTGATGTTCCATACGCCAACATGCGAAATGCCGATGTAACTTTTTGTAAAGTTGATAGCCCAAGTTTGCCGACACCATCCATCTTCTGTACGAAGAAGTTGTCATGATCACGTACCGCCTCAACTATACGAAGGAATAAACTCCTGTGCATCCGGAACCTTCTACGGAATAGGTTTGCACCATATGTAGGGTTATCAGAAAAATAGTCATGGTAAAGTCGAGAATTACCTTCTTCCCTCCCGCGATTGATCACCAAATGACCAGGAACTGAGCCAATACGCTTTGGCCGCTCTGCCTCTTGAGAGAGATAAGTCATTATTTTACTATTAGAGGCATGTACGCGAGCTAAGAGTTCATCTTCCTTCTCCCATTGTGTCATATCTTCCTCCCAATCTTTAATGTACTGAGACCATATTTCGTCGTCAGAAGAAGAAGAAGAAGAAGAAGAAGATGGTAGTTGTGACGGTCCGGCTCCATAGTTCATTGATGAAGAAGTTATTTATAGAAATAATCATATAAGTTCTGAGTTATTTAGAGATGGATGTAATGTCATTATATAATATGACTCCCCGCATTGGATTCTTTTCAGATTCTTTTCAGCATTAGCTTCTCACCCCCACATTGGATTCCTTTCGTGTTGGAGACTCCCCACATTAGATTCTTTTCAGCATTAGCTTCTCACCCCCACATTGGATTCCTTTTGTGTTGGAGACTCCCCACATTGGATTCTTTTCAGCATTGGCTTCTCACCCCCGCATTGGATTCCTTTTGTGTTGGAGACTCCCCACATTGGATTCTTTTCAGCATTGGCTTCTCACCCCCGCATTGGATTCCTTTTGTGTTGGAGACTCCCCACATTGGATTCTTTTCAGCATTGGCTTCTCACCCCCGCATTGGATTCCTTTTGTGTTGGAGACTCCCCACATTGGATTCTCCTGGTGTTGGAGACTCCCCACATCTGATCCCTATATAATACTTGCACAATTTTCATATCTCCACCACAACTCTTCTTATTCTATATTCATAACTCTTTACATTCCTCCTTAGATTATGGCATCTAGTCGCGGAAAATCTTTTTTACAAGAAGAAGACCAAGTTTTATGCGCCACGTGGCTCGAAATTTCTCAAGATCCAGTCATGGGTTCTAATCAAAAGAAGGACAAGCTGTGGGAACGAATTTCTGCTTTATTTCATGAAAGGATTTCCAATATTTGTAATGCTCAAAGGACTCCAAAGTCTCTTTCATGCCGAATGCAATTAATTATGAAGGCCATCAGTAAATTTCGAGGATGTATTCGACAAGTCGAGCGCTTAAATCCAAGCGGTGCTTCTGAGCTTGACATTGTAAGTATTTTGAATAACATAAATCTTGATTATCATCTACTATCATGTTATTAATAAATGTTTCTTCCTCTCTTGTGGTAGATTAAACGTGCTAGGATAATATTTGCAGAAGATCCAGAAGAGAGAAAGGGGTTTCTATTTGATCATGTTTGGTCAATTTTAAAAGATGCAGAGAAATGGGCAAATATAAGTGTCAGATCGCCTGCAACTTCCAAAACTTCAAAGTCCCGCTCATCTCAGGGATCAGATTCAAGTTCTCCTGTCGTCGACTTAAATGACGATAATGAGGAATATACTCATAATGACGAAGATATGATAACAAGTCGACCGACAGGAAGGAAGAAAGAGAAGATGAGGAGGCGACAAGCAACTGAATCCAACCTCGACTTGGAAACTCTCAATAAAAGCAATCAAGAAATTGTCGATATTTTAAAAAAAAGTCATGGAGAACGAGAAAATGATAGAATAACAATGCACCAGATTATGATGTTAAGGGCCGAAAACGAAAAGAAAAAATTAGATATTCAAAGGGAACGCCAGGAAAGTAAGATTATGTTGATTAATCTTGATACTATTACTGATCCTTCGGAACGCGAGTATTTTCGAATTAAAAAACAAGAGATTTTAAATAGAAACACAACCGGAGGTTCTTCATCTGATATTCCTAATCCTGAATATAGTTATGCAGGAAGTCAATACGGAATACCTGACTACAGAAGCGGTGGATATGGAGGAAATGGCCTGCCCGATTTTTAGTTTTTTTCATGTACTTTATTTTCATGTACTTTCTTTTTCTATGTAATGCCGCTGAATGTAATATATAAAATTTCATCATTCGGAGTAACTGTGAAGGTTGTTCCAAATATTATGTTATATTTTCTGCTTTAAAAATTTAAAGGCGCTTATCTATGTCTTATTATCAATTTATTAAAGATAATTACTTTTATTTAAATAATGAGTATATTATATATTATACTTTTAGTATTAATTTATAATATATTTTATATTTTAAATTAATTCATATAATTTTTTAACATTTTTTATTTTTTATATTTTCAAAACTATTTAAAGTATTAATAAAAGAAATCAATTAAAAATGCAAATAGAGCTTCATATAGAGGAGATGGTTGGAGTTACCCCCCTCTAAAAAAGCATATACCTAAGAATATGCTTTGGGGAGGCTGCATTTTGCAGCCTCCCCATTGGAGTTGCTCTTAAGAGATAAGTTAAGAAGAGGCTTAGTTCAGGGTTTTTATGAAAACGCATGGAAATGGGCAAGCCGCGTCTTTTTTTATTTTTTGGGAACAAAAGCATTTACTCCCTTTTCCTATTCCTTAGCTTGATTCATTTACAGTGATAGTAACATACTTTCTATAAAAGTGCTCAAAAGTGGTGAAATTTTAAGAAACTCGCATCTTGGCATTTTTGAGTAAAATGGGCTTTGCTATATTTTTTTGTCCTCATCTGAGAGATAACCTTATCAAGGGTTCTCGCATTCATATTTTGTATTAATTCCTTGCTCATCCAAACTAAAGAATCCGTATTTTTCGTAAAATTTTTATTTCCCATTTTTCACTCTTGAACCAAACTCAAGAGCTTAAAGAAAATAGCATTCGATCATCGTTTTGTTTCCATAAAAAGAACTGTTAATATTATATGGAAAAGCCTTTTTACTACCCTTTTATATTCCTTTTATTTTAGTAAACTGAACCCAACAGCTCTTAATATACAAGAGTTGAACTAAATACTCTTTATGGTCTAATTCGATCATAGCACTTGATGAATAGTAACGTTATGAGTAATTTTATTGAATTCTGGAGAACTTTTTGTGCAAAATAGAAAAAAATAAAAAAGAAACTCTCAGAAAAAACTTTGGGGCATCAAAGTCAAGAATGAGGTAACTTTCAGGGTTCTTAACTTCAAATACAGAAATTTTAAAAATTATCTGTTCTTGTTGAATGCTCTAAAGATAACATTGAATCTTCCTATTGATGCCTACAAGCAGCACCAAGATAACATTGAATCTTCATATTGATGCCCACAACTAGCACCCCCTATGTACGTCACACTTATATAGTAACAAATACAAAATTTTGAAATAACTTGGTCCGTAAACATTCTAACTTTCAAAACTATAAATTTGCACTTTTTATTCAATTAATCAAACATTAGATTTAGCATGAAATTTATTTATTGAATAAAAAAAAGCTGTACAAATTTTGCCACTGGTCCGAACACAGCATCTGTTCTGAGAACGTTTTTCCTAGAGAAAAAAAGAAGTCCCGTATTTAAAGGATAACTTTGTGTTTGTTTTCATGCAACAAATATTGCAGAGCCTTTACCGTTGCAATTGTAACATTTGTGCTGCAATACCTGATTCAGCGTGCACAAGTATAAAACTATAACAGCATACCTACCTTAAGTCATTTAGTATTATGCTCTGAAGTTTGCTCATTGGACTTGAGAGAGTCTTTAACATTGAGTTAAGACTAATTCTTTGGGACAGAGCAGTCATAACTTCGGCGTTACAAGTTAACTAGAACATGGAATCGCGTAGTTATATAAGAGATGACAAGGTATATTGTTTTTCCCCAAGCGTTAGATACTCAATCAGAAACAAAAGAACAAGTTATGGCAACACTGAAAATATTGTTTTAAGAGAAGCGAAGAAAGCGCCACAGTACTGAAACAGTTGCCATACATCACATGTCTTGGATATTTTCTCTATCAGAAAAAGAGTGCTACGACTTCTAAATGGAAAAGGTGTATATACTGGATGCAGATTATATTCATCATCATAAAGAGCAGTTACCGGCCTGTTGATCTGTGAGTTGAGTAGCCAGACTGATTGCTTGATTACCTGTTGATTAGGAAAAGGAAAATGATGAGCCCTTTGACAATATGAGCTTCTGAAACGAAAATAAGAACAATGACATATTAGGAAAAGGAAAATGATGAGCCCTTTGACAATATGAGCTTCTGAAACGAAAATAAGAACAATGACAGTGCAACAATACGCTAGGGAGCTGCCCTTTGACAATATGAGCTTCTGAAACGAAAATAAGAACAATGACAGTGCAACAATACGCTAGGGAGCTCTTCATGACAGTCTAGCAGGTTGACTTTGCTCAAACGCCTACGTTCAGTTGCCTAGCATCTAAATCCATTCAAGTTGCACATGCAAGACTCGCCACCTTAATGGGTGTACTACTTATATTTATATAGGAAAGAAAAAAAGGAAAATAAAATTGGGTTAATTGTAGATACATACATGTATGGGGTTAGCCACTTGTAACCCTAAAAATTTTTATTAGCATTTAGACCCATGACCCCAAAACGTTCTCTCTTTGTTATCTGACTTGTCACAGTGGGTCTCATGTGATGTCAATGTGCTTGCAGAAAGGTCCACTGATATTTTGTTTTATCATAGAGAAAAGCCCGATGTTGAAATAAGGTCCTGTGAGGATTCCAACTGCTAATAAAAAAGTTGGAGAGTAACAAATGAGTAATCCACTGTAGTACACGGGGTGTATCTGCAATTAAGTCAATATATTGTTTGCCATGGATTCAGAAACATGAAGCAACAGAAGCCCTACTCCAAAGCAGGGCTCGTAAAACAAAGGGAAGCAAAGGGTTCAAGTCAACTAACACAAGGCACAATTCATAAAAACTAGGTAGTTTGTCTTCTCAGCAATACAGCATAGTTGAACACCAGGATATCAACGATAAATGAAGAATTTAATGTTTGTGCTTGATCTCTAAGAACATGGGAATGCTGTAATATCTCACATGAAATGCAAAAAATGAAATCACCCTATAGTAATTCTACATCCACAAGGAGCAGGCTAACCATTTTTCTGTGTGAAGACGGATTGTTCACCAAAGCACACAGCTGCAGGAAGGAAGCTCCTAACCCTTAGATTGCCATCCGAAGCTAACCAGAATCACTTTGCAGTTAAGCACATCAATGACAGCTACAAAGAACTGTCAATTTAAATAGCCTCCTTAAAAAGATCACAATACACTGGAATCAACAAGCAAGGAACCCAACTAACCACATGAAACTAAATGGCACAACATCCATTCCTCATGCAACAAGAACAATTTTCTAAAACTGAAATAATTAACTATGATAAGTCATCTGCATATTTCCTATTTCTTGTGAGTCCAATAATCTTAAGAGTATGATTCCTATCAAAATGCGCCATGGTGGGGGGCAATCTGAACCATATATGAGTCCTGCAAATTACCAAAATACCTCCCACAATCCTCGTCAGTAGGTTCAGAACGCCCCACACTATGTGGGGGTGTTCTGATAGGATTCATACTCATAAGCTTGCAATGGTACATCATCTATATTGCACCAAAATGCAGGGAAGGTTCTTGGATCGTTTCTAACATTTACCTACACCAACACATGCAATATTGCAAATACGCAGTCATTATGCATGTGTTTGGACAGCACATAATGCATAATCAGATTATATACTGCATAGTTAAATTATGTCGAAATGTGTTTGTGTGTGTGTTACACATGTTTGCAATTGAAATACTTCAAAAGAATATGAAAAAGAAAAATGATAAAATATTTGAAACACGCCCTATTCCACTCAATGGGCTAGACAAAGAAGTAAGATGGTATAATTTGTTTTGGAGCACAATAAATTCACAGATAAAGAATAAAATAATGCAATCAACTTCTGCACAAATGCACACGTCTCTGGTACTGTTAATTAACATTATTCTCCAGAAATTGGTATTCTCCTTCATGCCTCATTTTCTCCAAAATCATCCACTTTCGCCATATGGAAGGGCCAAAATCCACCTTTAGTATTATTTATTGAACACTAGTATTATGATACACGCGATGCGTGCATGACACAGCACATCTGTATGCGTAATAAAAAATGATATTAACTTACTAATTGATGCTGATATAACTGAGGTGTAAACAATTATTGCAAAAAATGAATTATGCGTACACCATTTCAGAAAATAACAATACAACAAACCACATACCTGTTTGGATAGTTCACTCACTATAGCATGAACCATATATCTATTTAGATAGACAAAGAAAACAATTGAGATAATGTACTATTGTGAAATAATATTCAAGAATAACAAAATATTTTTACTACAAACGAAAATGGTTAAAAGAATAACAAAAGATTTAATTGGACAACTTACTTATCATATTCATAGATAGGCTAAATATCACAAAACCCCCTTTAACTATGGATGATTATCAGATAACCCCCCACAACTTTCACAATATAAAAAAACCCTTAACTATAGGGATTATCAGAAACCTCCTCCCCCTCCCCCAACGGCTCTTTCCTCCTTAACTTCAAGATTTTATCAAAAAAACCCTTTTAACTTTGAGATTTATCTAAGGGAGTTTTCTAATAAAATCTCAAAGTTAAATGGAGGTTTTTTGATAACGCCTAAACTTAAGGGGGTTTCTGATATATTCAAAGTTATGGGGAATTTTCCGATAATTGTCCAAAGTTAAATGGGTTTTTTTTATTTTATTTTTTTGATATTTAGCGTTATCGATACATGCAAAGTCATTTAACAGCAAGAAGAATAGCATGCAACACGAAGAAGAGAAAAATTAGAAAAAGTAAAAGAAAGTAGCAGTGAGAAACTAAAGTTAATTTCTTCTTTAAAACTTAAAAGTAATCAGAACTCGTCAATTTCAAAGTCCGATCAATCGGGTTGTTGCGGATTAAGAGGAGGCAGTGAAGAGCATTTGATGCGGAGATATAAAGAAGAATAAAGTCAGTTTATTTGTCGTGACTTTTATTTAGAATGGGAACGTGGGGAAGTAGTTAAGGTTTTGAAATATCAGTTGAAATGTGGAACGCGTGTGGGAGATGTGAAGTTAAAATTAATTTCCCAAACTTGCCCCTCACTCTACTCTTAAATCATTGTCAGTTGTATGAAGAATTATTGGGATTTATTTAAAGTGCAACATACAAATGGTAGAACATAAAGTTGTACCAAAAGCCTGCCTTTTTTTAATAGTAGTATAGATTATCTACTGCTGTCACAGAATTATTTCTAAAGATAAAAATTTAAAAAACTAAGATAAAAGCCATACACTCCAAAGTTCCGCAAACAACCTACTTTGCCAGAACAAGATGAACTAGATCTAGAAAATAAAAAACGAAATTGAAAGAAAATCAACAATTATGAAAATTCAGGATTAGATCCATTTTTTCTTTTAAGCTTAATTGCAGAAATCTCCTTCTGACTACTCATTAAAGTTTCATAGCATCTTAAGGAAGAATCAAGCACGTGCGAAGGAGAAAATTTTAATTTTGACTGTGTGGTATCATATGCATAACTCAAAAATAAGGGATCTAATGCATAAGTCTCTGCCTATTACAATCTGACTTGAATATACTTACTAGTTGAAATAGGGCCCAAACTCTTCCTAATACAAATCTTACCAATATGAAACAGAAGCAAGCTTAAAAGAGAAAACAACAAGTGCTTCCTTAAATTAACTTCTAATTCAATCTAAAAACTTTAGAAGCAAGCTTAAAAGAGAAAACAACAAGTGCTTCCTTAAATTAACTTCTAATTCAATCTAAAAACTTTTTGCTATGTTGCATGGGTAAGGGTACGAGACACGACAAATTTGTAATAGGTAGGGTACAGGGCATGGCTATATAAGTATTTATATACACATATATTATATATGTGAATTAATAATTTGTATCAGAACAAGGATGAGAACTAAAATTCCTATAACATTTTTATTTTTTTTAATTATGTGGATCATAAATTGGAAAATCACTAGTTTTTAAACTAGATATTCAAATGACCCTTCAGAAATCAAAATTCAGAACCTGGCCTTCATCCAACGAGTTTCAAGAAGTGGATGCGAAGTGTAGGATATATGTTCAAAAAATGTATGATTATTAAAAGGTAGAGTACGGGGGACATCGCTAAATAAATATTTATATGCACATATAATATATACTAGAACTAATAATTTATATGAGAACAAGAGGAGGAGAATAAAAATTCCTATAACATTTTTTTGTTTTTTTTATTATGTGGATTATAAATTGGAAAATCACTAGTTAATGGACTAAACCTCCAAACGACCTTTCAAATTTTATTATGTGGATTATAAATTGGAAAATCACTAGTTAATGGACTAAACCTCCAAACGACCTTTCAAAATCCTATTTGGGAACCTGACCTATGTCCAATGAGTTTCAAGAAGTGGATGTGAATTGTAGGATACATGTCCCAAAATGTATGATTAGTGTTCCAAATTAAAACTTGTATAATCAAGTAGATACCCAAATAAATATTTGCATAAATGCAAAGAATATTAAAGGAGTTTGGGTACGTGTATGGATATGGGTATGTGTCGGGTATAGGTACGGCTTCAGATTAGAAGTACCCAGACTTAAAATAGAAAATCCAATACAAGAATCAACACTCATTATTAGAGAAATGATAGATCATAAACTCAAATGTCAGAAATCAGCTTTATTGCTTGAGTGCACTCTCCCTTTTACGGATTTTGAAATGCATCCAAAAGTTCATCCGATAGGTTAACTGCATCAGGTCATATAAATTTTATGTGAACACTCTTCTATAAAGAAGCAGATGAAATATTGTTTTTTCACATCCTTCCATGGTTTTAAGCATTATTTAAATTTGTGATGGAACCTAGAAATAATATCTAAAAAGGTTGCCCAGAACAACATATCTGATTAGGAGTTACTTCATGAATTTTTTTGGTAATTCTTAAATGCTGCATACCTTAATAGTTAATAACTCCAGCTACATGTGATCTTCATTGTTAGCTTGTCACCCACTACAATGTGAAGGACCTGATGAAAATGTACAGCATTGGATAGAGATGTTCATTCAAGTACATTCAAGAAATGGGAAAAAAAGGGAAAATTTTGAAGAAGCTAGTCAAGAAAACAAAAGAGAATATATAATTTAAAACCTTTGTTTATCAAGTCCTTTGAATTTGACATCGTGAAAGAGTTTCGTTGATTTCACGTAAAGCTGCATATTTGGATATGCATGTGTTGGATGTTTGCTTATGTTAAAATCAACTGAATGAATAAAATATTTGCAAGCAATGAAAAGAAAGTACCCGGAAGGCGTGGGAAATCTGGTTCTATTCCATTTCCATTGATATCCTTGTGATTTGGCGTGACATACTTCCCAATGGTGACTACCACACCAGATCCATCATGAAGCTCGAAAACCGATTGTATCAAACCCTAGAAAGATGTTGAGAAGAATAACACAGACCAAAGATGATGGAAATCAACAAGTTTTGAAATGTGAAACAATGGATTGTAGACGCATGGTCATGGGCGGATGTACATACAAGTGGGTGGTCTCAAGTAAAACCACCTTGACAAATTAAAAAATGTAGCTTATTTTATGACTATAAAGTGACACCATTAAAATAAAATGAGTGACCCATTAAACCTCAATGGCTCTAGCCCAAAATAAATTGATCCTACATTAAGATGACTCGTTAATTTAAAAGGCCTATTTCCAAAATTCAACATATCGAAGCGAGCATCATTTTTTTAGGACGAGAAAAGAAATATGTAGTGTATCCACTGATACACTTATTTATTTAGCAAGCACTGATATCACCAATTACAATGACTTCTACAGAAAGGTTATTTTCTGTAATGCAAATTGTAAAGAATCGTTTGCTTAACCAAATGGAGGATCAATGGATGAATGTCAACTTAATAACTTGCATTGATAAGGGGTGTATTTAGTGGTATTATGTATGAGGGTATTAGGAAACCATTAAAACACATGAAGACACGTAGGGATCAACTGTAATTCTATTTAGTTAGATATCTTTTTTGTATCTCCTTAAAGTTTAGATTATATTGAATGTGAGAGAAAACTTAGTAACATAATTTTTTTTATATACATATTGTGACACGCCTGTGATAAATTCCTAACTCCGCCACTGAATGGAATACACACCTTGCCAAAAGTTCTCTCTCCCACAACAATAGCTTTGCAGTTATCATGAAGAGCCGAAGCAACCTACCAAAAGCCAAAAGAAGAAAAATGACTTGTCTCAGTTGATAATGCTTAACTTGGTTGTTCATGACTAGCAAAAATAGCTACATCACTCACAATTTCGCTTGCACTTGCAGTTCTGTTATTCACCAAGACCTACATGAAGGTCTAGTTGATTATTTCCAAAAAAGATTCAGACCAAGGTGCTAAAAAGAGAGAAAACAACAATAGCATATTTTTGGTGTAACCTTATGTTAGTGTACTTAAGATCTTTAGTTCATTGGTTCTTGATGAATTTAGTCATCCAGCAGTGCATGAATATAATACATATGTTGAAGTAGTATTCACATCTGCTAAAAGTTAAACTTGATATAAATTTTAGTGAATAATAAGCCTTAAAGCATGTAGAGATAAGCTTAATACCAATATCACATAAATTCCCTCAACATACATCTATGTGTGCAGTGACAAAGCACCTTTGCTTTTTCATATTAGGACTCACAAGTAAATAGTCAACATGTGACTTAAGCTAAGACTAAGCTCAATCAATCTAGTTTTGCAGACATACAGCATTGGATGTCTAATTAATGACTTGATGCTTTTATGTACTTCTGAATTTTGTTACAGAACCTTGCCAAATTGTGCAGTTAATCATCATCAATTATAATGTGTATCACATACATCCAGAAGCTCCATTTGCTGGAGGGACTTAAAACCATGTCATGACTCACTCGTAAGTTGTATCGTAGTAATCATCGGGTTTTAATTTCTGATAGATCTTATGCTGCTATGCAGAACAGCCACAATGGAACTAATATAAGTAGTTATTTAACTGTGCATCACATAGACACATACTAAGATCTACAGTCAAGTTAACATTATAGGATACTAGTATCTTATTCAAACAATTTGAAAACCTCGGTTTTCTACTTCCATGTATCATCTACTTTAGTTCCAGTCGAATTGTGTTCTAAGGTATATCGTGAACATATTACTACAGGTAGATTACACATTTGATTTGTTATAATGAGGATGTAATTAGCATATTATTAGAATGTAAATTTTTGAGGTTGCCTTTTTATAATTAATTTTAAGAAAATTGCTTCAGACCACCAGAGATCAGGAATTTGTGCTTCCCTTTGAAAAAAGGTTAAGCTCCCAGTCGTGACTCCTTTCCGTACCAATATCCCTAAGGTACCTGCAACCACGTCTGTCACCCTCAACCTCTCAAACAACAATCGGCTCTCCTTTTCCTCCTGTTCTCTAAAACGCTACCGCCTGCACCACACTTACCCGTCCCCGCCACCTCACTCTACCTAAAATAACGTCTGCCTTCTCCCTCTGCTACCGCCTCAAATACCCTCCACTTCCAACTGCCCTTCTTTGTCGCCTCACTCACCCTAAGGGGGGTTATTTGTTGGGACAAATTAGGGCCAAGTGAGAAAATTATTCTAATGGAACAATTTTATCCCTTTGGGATATTTTGAGTAGTGTAAAGTGGGATAAATGGGATAATGGGATAATTTGAGCCTTTGATTTGACAATTCATGTAGGATAATTGATGATGTGGCACCTTATTAAAATATAATTTTATCTATTAATTATTTCTAAATTAACTTATCCAATTATTTTAGTATATTATTATAATATAAACATTATTTTACTTTAAATTAAAATATAATATGTTGTACTATAGTAACTAAATAATATTATTAATTATTATATTACATTATATTATATTATATTAGCATGCTCTACTATATAATAATTAATATAATATAAGATCAATATATTTAATATAATACATTATTTTATTTATACAAAAAATATAATATGTTATACTATAATTACTATTTATATTATTAATTATTATGTTATATTACATTATATTAGTATGCTACATTATCTAATAATTGATATAATATATGAACAATGTATTTAATATAATACTTTAATAATATATTATTTAATTTAATATATTATAATATAGTATCATAGGATATAATGTATTGTATAAAATATTATAATATTTTACTTTATTCAATGTAATATTTTTAAAATATTTATATTA